TCGCGTGCTAGTTCAAATATTCTGCTGTTGCTGTGTTCTGAGTGGTGGGGCATGTTTTTCTACTTTATTCATTTATATACGCATACGGAGTGCTGACAACAACGATTCGCATCAACAACATCGCATCAACAACATTTCGGGTGTGTGTACCAAAACAAAAGCAACACATATTCACGGNATAGAGCGGATGGGCGAAGGCTCTCGCGTGATGCTTTCTCGCCTGACACGTGAAACAGACAAAGAAGCAACCAGCGAGTGCCGATGCTCAAACCAATTCCCTAGCAGAAGTTCTGCAGCAGGGCAAGGCGAGGGAGAGCGTCGGGAAGTCTCGAGACGACAAAATGGAGGTAGCTTGGCAGGATTGCATGATCCAAGCAGAAGCACGCGGCATCAAATTTTTAGCTGCTGTGTAGTCTAGTCACCATCACAAGGCTGCATTGCCTACGATATCTAGAACAAGGAGAATGTAATGTAACTTCTCCATCGCTCTGGGTCTGCACAAGGAAGGAGGTCTCCACGATATGCTCTCGGAGCCTGGCTGGTATGTGTTTGTACGTGTTTGACGCTGTCTGTTGACCCCCGGATGAAAGTTTGAAAGTTTGTAGACACCTATGCATAGTCTAGGTAATGACTACTTCTAACAATCATGATTGTTATAGATAGACTGCTCTTCGAGGGAGTCAAGTTGTCCACAGGCGCAGAAAACAGGTTGAACTACAGTACCGTAGCTCACCAGACAAACGACCAGTCCATCGCCAAAGCCCGAGTTCCGTTCCAACTAGGGCCTTTGGGTTGGCACGGTGGTGCGCGCGCCTCGCACCTCCTCATGAGATCCACCGGACGTGCGAGGCAGTGTTGTTCCTGCCAGCATCCAAGAAATGAAAAAAGGCGTTTCCCATCCGGCTTTCTCTGCCTGCCTTTGGCCTGCTGCCAGGAAGCTCTATCTCTCCCTCTGCCCCTTCCCCGCAGCCCTGTCGAGAGGGACTTCGCCATAAAACTTCACACGGAGAGCATAGCCGCCCCAAGAGGGAACATTTGCCCTCAGATCGTTTGATCGGTGTAGCATTCGTAGTTCCTCTAGTGCAGGAGCTACAGAAGTAGGCGCCCTCGTCACGGACCAGCGGAAAGCTTCTCTCTCACGTGTACAGGCTGGCTGTACCGCCGTGGCACTTTGGTGGTCTCCGGCAGATCGAGGACGAGCAGTCGGGATCCCCCCACTTTCCCTTGTTGGTGAGTCGCAGTCCTGTGTAACTGTCTGATGTCGGGCTGCAGCAGAGGCTAGGGTACAAAGTAGAGTATGTATGTATGTATGTATGTATGTATGTATGTATGTATGTATGTATGNCACTATAGAGGGCCCAGTACTGTATCAACAATTGCGACACCCACTTTATGAATTGTTTCTCTGCACCCAGGTTGTTGTTGTTGTTGTTGTTGTTGTTGTTGTTGTTTTTCACATTAGCTCTAAAAAAGAAAAGATTGGGAGCCCGTGGTCTCAAAACCCGGCATACACGACCCCACGAAGAAACAGAAAAAAATAGGGTACAAAAACCACTCGGAAGAGAAACAAAATGATATAAAGAAAGACCAGCTACCGCACCAAACGAGAAAGAGCGTCGAGGAGACCGATCAAAATAAAAGAAAAGGAGAACGGGGAACGCTTCCCACACCCGCCTACAACGCCGGAGGGTTCCGTGCCGGGTTCCCGCCGA